ATATATATATATATATATATATATATATATATATATATATATATATATATATATATATATATATATATCCATAGTATCTACTAAGTTAATTTTAAGCTACTGCATAAACATAGTTACTGATTGTATCAATCAGATCAGATCAACTTTCTTTCAGTTCTGCTACGAACTGAGGATCCCTTCTGATCTCAGAATCATCGCTCACAATGAGACGCACAATCTTTTCTTTGCAGACCGTAACACTTAGGTAAATATTCGTGATTTGCTAGTCTTGTGACATTCACAAGATCGGCAAGCAGGATGTCAGTATTGAATCAAAGCGGCGATGATGCGGTGGAGTGCCCGTTGTGTATGGAACCGCTGGAGGTGGACGATCTGAATTTCTTCCCCTGCACCTGCGGATATCAGATATGCCGTTTTTGTTGGCACAGAATTCGTACCGACGAGAACGGCCTGTGTCCCGCTTGTCGGAAGGCCTATTCTGAAAATCCGGCTGATTTTAAACCCCTTACCAAGGAAGAATTGTCAAGGTATTTATGCAAATGCTCTCTCTTTCTCTCTCGAGTTTCTCTCTCGAATTGCATTGTGTTCGACGAATGATTCATTATCGAGAGAACTAACACCGCTGTTTTGTGTACTCTTCAGGATAAAAGCTGAAAAAAGGCTGAAAGATCAACAACGGAAGCAGAAAGTTATGGAAAATCGGAAACATCTAGCAAACGTGAGAGTAGTACAAAAAAATTTAGTGTTTGTAGTAGGATTACCATTGCGACTGGCAGATTCGGATGTGAGTATATTCTCAGTAATATAAAAAACCCTCTGTAATCGATCGATGACCCGCGATGACATCTCCGCGCGAACATCATTTCACAAAAAGAAAAAAAAAAAAAACAAAACAAGCGAGAAGGGAGAAACGAAATCACGATACATAATACTTCGCATGCTTTAGGTTTTAAAGAGACACGATTATTTTGGAAAATTTGGGAAGATACACAAAGTCGTAATTAACCAGAGTACTTCCTACGCAGGGTCTCAAGGCCCCAGTGCTTCGGCTTATGTTACTTACCAAGTGAGTATTTCCACATTTTGCTCGATCCGAAAGAGTAACACACGTGTAATATACATTATCTGTCTCTTACTACGAAACACTCGCTAGGAGGAGCGAGATAATGTTCTTCTTTAACGTGCTTGTGTGTATTATTAGCGTCAAGAGGATGCGCTACGTGCTATAGAGGCTGTGAATAACATTATTATGGACGGACGGACAATAAAGACATCATTGGGAACGACAAAGTACTGTTCGCACTTTATGCGTAACCAAGCTTGTCCGAAGCCGGATTGCATGTACCTGCACGATCTTGGGGACCAGGAGGCGTCGTTCACGAAAGAAGAGATGCATATGGGAAAACACCAGGAGTACGAGCGCAAGCTTGTGCAATCGTTACATGCACATGCATCTTCAGTGCAACGGTAGGGAACGAAGTGACGAGTCTGCCGTGATCTTGCCCTGTAAAGTGTGTTTATACGCGTGGATAATGAAGTTTTTCAATCTCTTTGATTTAGGAAACCGACACCGTCACCACCTGTAACTAGCAGTATTGTTAGAGAAAGTGGAACTGTAAGTTCACAGACTAAAGAGGCATGGCCGTCGTTGCAACCGGGACTGACGAATAGTAAGTTTCGCGAGTCGACTTTTAACAATGGCTCTTCAGAGAATCTCGCACATGATGAAGGTCTCTCATGCGCCACATATCGATGTCCTGTTTTCAGACACACAAACCAGTTGTAAGGAAGTATCACCACCTGTGCAAACAGCCTCGCAACACAGCAACAACGTAGGGAACGCGAGTGGCGGTGCGTTAGTTCAACAGGGTCACATCTCCGCCGGGGTTGTGACCGCGCAACATCAACAGAATAACAACAATAAGGGTGAAAGTGGTGTTGTCGCTATACGACGGGGTAAAAGTAACAGCGAGAGCAAGGCGCAGGCAGCTCGGAATAAACACAAAAATTGTCAAAACAAGGAGAAGCACGGTAGTACTCGTACGGCGTTGCGATCCGAATCGAGCTCGGCCAACGCAACGCAAAACAATAGTTCGCAGTCGCAAATTAACGGGCAAAAGGACATAAGAAACTTTTCCGCCGATACGAACAGTGAAATATTGCAAAAATTGGGTAACAAGTGTAAATTAGAGCACCAACAGCAGCAGCAGCAACAACAACAGTCACAACAACAACAACAAACTAGCAAAACATCAAAATTAGTTCAACAGTCGCAGTCGCACGAAGTTAAAATAAATGGTGTGTTACAAAACGGGGAGCGTCGGCATTCGGACTGTGAAACGGATCATCAGCGCGAAGGTAGTACACCAGCTAGCACGATCTCGAGTACGGAAGATTCGAATCTAAATCATCAAGCCGAACATTTGGCTGAATCGAGCGAGGAAAACAATGGCGCTGTTCTTTTGGGTGAGTTGTTTATAATCGTGCTCATTTTTATATGTTCCTATTTTCTGCGATACGAATGATATTCGTATAAAGTCGCGCGAGGGACCTTTAGACGAGACGAGATTAGTAGACATAACCGTTTGGGAGATGTGATAGACGCAATTCGGTTGATAGAATCATTACGATTAAGAAGTTTACGCTAACTTGACTATATGTACACAGTCACTTAAACGTATTCTGAAATATGTTAAAACTATCAAAGGATTATCTTTGTTGATTAGTTCGTATAATCAAATGCCAATAAAAGTAATTTAATCATGCTGTGAATGATACGTGTCCTATACTGAAGATTATATATATATATATATATATATATATATATATATATATATATATATATATATATATATAT